AAGGACAAAAATTTTGACTTGTGAAGCTCGCTCATGCTGAATGCTTCTCCTAGACCTGAAACTCGTATAACTTAGCCAAAAACCTTATCGATAGTAAAAATAACATATCTTTAGAGTCGTGTTTTGTTCACATGATTGATTGGAAAGCTGCCTATTATTCTTTTGCCTTACTGAATTTATTTTTCAAAGTTTTTATACGACTTCCTTCGAAGTCTTTGTGGTAGAGTCTTTCGAATAGAGTCATTTGTTATTGAAGATCACAGCTTGTTGGCTTTCTAAATCTGCTGTCATTTGGTAATGTCTCAACACTTGATCATCTTAGCTAAATTACAATTATGACGCCCATATTGTGAGATGAAGGGAAACATTAGATACACCTGTAGACAAGCCGTTGGAAAATCGTATCGCAGCGAATGCATTTGAGCTGGCGGCGCTCCGAAAATGCGGGCTACCTTTGCGTATGTTTGATTGTGTATGTGGACTTAAGTACTCACACATGTCGAAGATCTATCTATCAAGATTTAAGGGCCTGGCAAACCAATAATTACCGGATGAGGCGTAATTTCCTATGGGCTGCATTTTCAAAATGATGCGATCAAATTAATGAACAGTTGCCCCCAAAGCGTTAAAGAAGTTTTCAAGTTTTCTGTGTGCGTTGTTTTTCTTCTGTCTGTCTATTTGTCTGTCTGTCTTGTGTATTTTGTGCGATTGCAGCAGTTGATATTGACAGGCCCTTTGTCTGGGAAGGGGTTCGCCTGAACCCAGAACACGGCAGCAATTGAGGCGACGGTGGCAGCTCAGCATGCAGCAGCATGAGGCGCTGTTTACCTTACCAAGTACCTTTCAATTGTTTTTTATTTATTTGTTTTTATTTTGTTTTTGGAGAAAGAAAATTCAGTTGCCTTTTGAGCACTTGCAGCGTGGAACTTTCGTTTTTTGTTCGCTTCTCGAGTGGCTGGCGCGGCTGGGCTCTGCTTCCTATAAATCTTTGCGGGCAGCAATAAAGTTATAAGAAAAAAAAAAATATTACAAGAGCAAGAGCCATTTCCATTGTACAGCTTGGCCAGAAGTTTGGGAAAGTTCAAAACGTCGCTTAAAGTCATTGCGCATGCGGGACACAGAGCAACGGCAACTGGAACTTGGTCATCTTTCAAAAAAGGAAAAAAAAACTTATTCCAACTGACACTCGCCCACTCTCCTGTGGCAGTGCGCAGCATTTAATGATGTCTCTGTGTACCAAAATGTGCTTCAAGCTGTTTAATTGTGCAACTTTTCTATGGAAATTAAGTGCAAGATCTGCCCGCAACAGAGTTGAGTTCAGTTTCAGTTCCAGTTACTTCATCGCTTTCGTTTTTCATTGTGTGCGGCATTGTCTGTGGGAAATTTTCATGTTCCCCTCTCGTTTTCTATAACCAAACGGGGCTACCCATTTACCTTTTTGTTTAAAGTCTTTGTTATTAATTTAAATGGGGTACCGTTGAATGCAAATTTTAAAACATTTGCATTTTCTAATTAATTTTAATGTAATTAATTAAGTTCAAAGTACATTTTGCATGATTTGCTGCGGTGCCAGAGTCAAAAACACTTGTTAAATATCATTATTAGGCAGTCAAAGCTATAAAAACATAAGGACCACCTGACTTGATGTGGTCTTTGAGGTATTACTTGAATTCTTGAGAATTGCATAGAAAGGCTATCTGAACTTCTGTCAGCTATTCATATTAAACGGGCAGAGACAGATGAATCGATCATGTCAATTTCCACTGGCCGATTTTCACAAGATTGTGCGCTTCCTTCATGGTTTGACCTCTAGATCTATTTAGCATCTAAATCTAACAACATTATATTCATGTGAAAAGGGAACCCTCAAAAGTTCTATATAGACATAGGTCAACATTTCCCACCCCCATAACTCGGTTAATCTCATCCGATTTTCATCAGGTTTGGGTTTTTGTTTATGGCTTCGCCTCTAGATCAAATTGGCATCTATGTCAGGCAAACATTATTCTTGTATATATATTTGTATTATTATTATATGTCTACAGAAGTGTGTATCAACCCACATTTGACAGCTAGAAATTTTTTAGTTGACATCAAATAATTAAACTATAAAAGGCATATGCTTGAACATCTTTAAAATTATCTGCAACTTATGCAAGCGAATGCTACACAAAAATTTCACCAGTTTATTTTTTATATAAATTGCCGACCTATCACAAGAGTGTTAACAATAATTATAAAGAGCCAAATTGGGCGATTGGCCGATGACAAAAAGTGAGGCATCAAACAAGCCAAAATATGAAGCAGATTCACAAAAATATGCCATCAATAAATACGCATTTAAACAAAACCTCATAAAAAAACTCACATGACAAATGATTATATTTTGAATACCAAAATAAAAGTGAATGCGCCAGCCCAGCAAATTTGCACTTTCGCCATAAATTATAAAGTCTTAGCTTGGTTGGGCGATTATCTAATCAGCGATCCGCAGGATCAATGTCCGCCAATTTCTGGGCACGTTTCAATTTTTGGCCAAATCGCATAATCTGTACACGCCCAGCGCATTTACTAAAGAGCGTTTATTAGTGGCACGAATTTACAGGCAGCCATGCCAAGCCATGCCATACCACTGCCAATTGCATGTGAAAGTTCATGCAATAGTCAGGTACAAATCGTATGCAGCTGGTCAAGGAGCAGCACTTGAAGTTGAAGCTGTGATTGCAGCCGTTGATAATCGGTACACATGAGCGCAGGCTCGTGATGCCTGCACAAATTATGATATGTTGGTCTGTGAGATCGCCTGTGATGATCTCAAGTTGTTGCAGGTGATTCGAGTGGCCCGAAATGTGGCTCCCACACGCCATAAACAAACTCAGCTGCCGTCAACCACGCTCTGTTCCCCTGCCCACCCGTCTGTCTGACCGCCTGTCTGTCTGTCATATGCAAATGACCGATATTGTCCGAAAGCGAAAGTTCCATGACGAACGAACTCATCGCAATGACGTCGACAACCGTAATTGCGGGGCGTTGATCATCGTGCTGACCAAAAACGTTTTGTCTTTTAGCCCTTGATGAGACCACAGATAACTTTCCTATGCGAGACATCAAACTTAGGAGCAATATAGCATAGTGATCGCTTCATTGTGCTACATTTATCTTCAAATGAAAGACTAACGAATTTTGTCTATTTATGTTTCGGTTAATATTCAATCTAGAAATTTAAATGTTTATCTACTTATTTGTATTTATTATTGATTATTTGACATACGGTTCGGCTTCTAATTCATAACTTAGAAATTCTTTAAGTTTGTCAATTTCGTATAATTAGTTTGTTCTTTATGTATCTAGCTCTAACGCTTTTCTCATGCGGCACATAGATTTTGAGCTCTTAAAAACTGCTCGAAAAACATTTAAAAAAGCCCCCAAAAACACACGCCGATTGTTCGGGACTTTATTTCTGCTGCGTATTGCTCGTTTGTCGCATGCCTCGCATATAAAATATATTTTCATTTTTTTTTCCATTTAACATATGCAAAATACATTTGGAAATTTGTCACTTGCTCAACTTGTAAAGAAAGTTTTTTGTACTTTGAAATATTGGGCAATGTTTTTGTTTTTATTTTTCGGTTTGAATTTCGTGTTTATTTTCGGCTGATCATATGCGGCGTCTGCCAAATAATGCTGAATTGTTGCCAAGCTCTCGTTGCATGCAGCCGGAATATAAATACTCCATTTGATGAATAATGTGTGAAGTTTGCTTGGCCTGCTATGTGGTTGTGTCTATGCAGCTGGATTGGGCCACAGTTTAATAACTATTGTTGAACACTTTTTGCATTTTTCAATGACTAATGGGTCAACAAGTAGAACTTAAATCAAATATTTGTTTAAACTAATTTGTCTTTAATTAGTCTTTTTACTCTATTTACCACTGTACATAAATAATACAAAAGAACTGTAACAAAAACTAGCAGACATTACATTTTGGTTGAATATAAACTAAATTTGCATTGAATCGATTTTAAAACGAACTCTAGATGGCGCTAGTAAAGTTTTTTCAGCCTAAAAGTATGCACTGCGTTTGAGGCTGTAAGCAATCTTGGCGGGGAAACTTTCTTTAATTTATAAATTAGTGTTTTATGCTTAGTTTTCAAAGCAAATTAAATTTTTCATCTATTGTGCTGTGTAAATTAAAAAAAAAACTTCAAACTATTTTCTTCCAAACAATTTATCCATATTATCTTGTTGCAAGACATATATACATATTCATATTCATTCATATTATTGAAAGCCAATATTCTTAGTAATTTTATTGAAAAAAAAAACTCCCAAACCCAATTTTCTATTTTAGAACAAATAAAAAGAGCAGCAATTGTAAATTTGTTTTAAACATTTTAATTGAATTAATTTGTTGTGCTTTTAAATAAATAATTACAATACGCGTATTAAATTAAATTACAATAGCTTCTTCTATATATTCGTATAATAACTTCGTGCAAAAAGAAGCGCCTTATCAAATGCCCTACATCGAGTAGAGCTATTTGCCGAATTTCTATTAAATAAGCTTAAAGCTAAATAAATGTTATGCAATAATTTAGAAAATTATATACAGAGCAAATGTGGGGGAAAATAAATTAAGAGACAAATCGTTTTAATACGTTACATCCTCATTATCATCATCATCATCATGAATAGGGTTTGTCTTTTCTTTTGTAAATTATGATTTAAACTAAGCATTTCTTTAAAATTAACATAATGACAATGGAATTTCTTGTGATTTTTGTTTTTCTCATTGCTGTGCTGTGTGTGCAGGTGGATCAGGGGGAAAGGGGCGGTAGGAGTAAGAGTTGTGGGTAAATGTTAACTGAAATCGTTGCTTGGGTTATGCGCAAAACTCCATGAATTGTCTGTGAGCGTGTGGCCATAACCAAAGCACGAGTTCTAGTTTTTGATCGTTTGCGGTGCTGGGCATTCACTAAGGATTAGGCATAATACACAGCCGAAGACTACGATGCGACTAAAACTGTAAAATCTGATTGATCCAGTCTCGGAACTCGGAGATGCGCGTATAAACGCCCGGCTGATTGGCCTCCGCACAGCCAATGCCCCAGGATATGACGCCGCCCAGATGAAAGCGTTTATCCGACTCACGCTGCAGCACCATGGGCCCACCAGAATCACCTGTGAATCGGTTAAATGCAATTAGCCCGCGTCATAAATCAAATATGAATTACAAAGCGCACCTTCGCACGAATCGTAGCCGCCCTTCTTCCAGCCGGCACAGATGAATATGTGCGGTATGTGCTCAATGTAGCCCGCGGAGCGGTACATCGATTCGCAGATGGTGTTGTTGATGACAGGCACAGCGACCTCCTGCAGCACGCTGGGCAGCGGTCCATCCTCGTAAAGACGACCCCAGCCGGTGACAAAGGCTGTTTGCCCAATAAAGTTCTCATCGTTGTCGGGCACACAAACGGGTATGATATTTGGTTGGAATACCACGGGCTCATAGAATCTGCAGAAGGCAGCAAGAATTGTAATTATATATATATATATATGTGTGTGCACACTCACCTGAGCAGCGCCAAGTCGTATTCGAAGGTGCGCGGATCGAACTGCGGATGTGAGGCCACAATTTGCACGCGTCGCTCCTGGAAGCCATAGGGTTCCTCTTCCTCGGCCAGATCGTATTCGCCCAGGCGCAACAGCAGATCGGAGGGAGGCACACTGTAAGACACGAGAGTGGGTGTTAGGCAACAGTTCGCTTTTAGCCAGCTCTCTGACGGGCCACTTACTTGTCAACACAATGCGCTGCAGTGATTGCCCAGTTCTCGTTCAACAGCGCCGCGCCGCATTTGTGCAGATAGGTGGAGGTGCGCCATTGACGTAGCGATATCTGCCAGGGCCAGCGTCCAAAGGCGGCGTTTGCGCCGCCAACGATGCGCGGCTCGGGGAACATGCGACGGCCGCAGACTGCGGACAACGAAAAAAAAGCAAAAACAAAAAAAGGGCAGAAGGGCGGCATTTAATAGGCGAGCAGGTCACAATTAAAGTAATGGCCACAAAAGCCTTTTAAACATTTTAATCACTACAACAGGCACTCAGTCATCCCAAGAGTCCAGCCAAGAAATGTAATATGCTTTGGCCATGTCTTGGTCTTCGTCTTCGCCTTGGTCTTGGCCAGGCCTTGACTTTGGCCAGCAGTCAACGGCCTACTTTATGGCTGCGTCGTACGTTTCGTGCATCAAGATATTGCAGTTGCTCGCAAATCGGTCAACGGGCCTCGCCAACGGGCAACAGGCAACAGGCAACAACTCCCTGACTCATTTTTTGCCCACAGGCCCCAGGAGGAGCTGTGGTGGGGTGTGGGGCAACAGATCGGACAATCGACTAAGCAAGCACGATAAGCGCAGCAGACAACGTGACCCAGGCGGCACAATGACCGCAACGCCAGTCATTATTGTAAATTATTGCTGTAAAAATTGCTATGGACATGAGTTCTTTTTCTACGTGTTGTTGTTGTTGATGTTGCTGTTGTCTTTGTGGCAGTAAAAGCCGCGCTTAGCTTTCTAGACACACGATGATGCTGCTGCAGCTGCTCCCGTGCAGCATCCATCGCAAGAGGAGTCGAGTATCATTCGCGCTCTGCACAGACAGTCAGACACAAAGTTCTTGCTCAAGGCCAATGTTCAGCCTTCAAATTGAATTTAATGGCCACGCATCTTTGTCTTATGGCCAAAGTCTGGTATATTAATAGATTTCTTCGCTCTGCAGCAAACAAGTTTCTTTTTTTTTCATCCTTTTTTTTTTGTATGCAACCTAAATACTTGCTTTGGGTACATCAACTATGTAAGCAGGAATGTTACGTTTTCTACTGAATAAGTATTTGTTACCTATGGTCAAGTTTAAATTATCTAGAAAATTGTTGTTATCTTAAATTTGATATATCATATGTATGTCGTGATGGAATTTAGTTTGGTTGAGAAATCTGTTTGAATGCACTAAATACACTATCCTATTTTCTTTTTTAATATATCATGTTTAAAATGTAAATATCTAGTTTAATTCAGTATTTTTTTTTTTTTGTGTTTTAAAAAAGTTCTAGCTATGTAAAGCAATATACTAATCTGCTTTTTGAAATATAGCGTATTTAACAAGTTCTATATATTTCAATGAAAAAGTAGTCCTTTCTGCTATCCAGGCTAATAAAAAGTGTTAAAACTAGTTCGATTTATTAAACCTATTTCATGTAACATTTATGTCGTTCGGCATTTAAATTTTAAGTGAATTTTTTAACTTTACCACCAACTTTTATATAATAGGTCCTAGCCATAGTTCTTATCCCACCTCAATAGAGTTCTGGAAGCAAAATCATTCCCTGAGCCTGACTGATAAATAGGAACTGTCGATGCTCTTGCTAAAAACATTTTGCTTAAATTAAGCAATAATATAAATATTCAAAGGAAAGGGCATACAGTCTTCGACTATCTATCTACTTAGCTATTCTCAGTTCGTTTCTTTATGTTTTATTTTGCCTTCTGCATCAATGAAGAAGCAACGCGTTGCACTCACCTTCCCTGTAATCGACGCCCTCCAAGCCAGTCGCAGGCGCTACGGTTGTATTTCCAGCTGCATCGATTGTTGTTGTTGTCTGGTTCAGATCCTCACCGCTGTAATCCGTTGTGGTGGTGGTGGTGCTGGTGGTGCTGCTGCTGCCACTGCCGCTCAACTCGGTGCTTGAATCTGTGTAAGACGACGTTGAGGATGCTAATTCCAAGCGTTCAGTTGTGGTTGTTGTTTTTGCTGTTGTTTTTGTTGGTGGTGCCTCTGTGGTTTTGCTTGTTACAGTTGTTCTTGTGGTTGTTGTTGTTGTTGTGGCTGCTGCAGTTGTTGCTGTTGGCCTGCTGCTGCTGCTGGAGGTTATAGGCGGTTTTGTGGTTCTATGCGGCTTGCTGGTTACCATTGTCTGCTCATGCATTTGACTCTGACCCGGCTTCGAATCGCCGCTGCTGGTGCTGACGCTGGTGGCCACCGAGATAACCACCTTGTCTGTGGCGCTGGGCGTTGCTGCAATTAGAATTGGATTCATGTTTACCTTGCAGCTAGTCCCATTGCTTATACACGGTGCAACAACCACTTACCTGTCGTCTTGTTGTACAACTCCGGCAACAAAGTGGGCAATGGCACCCAATCTGCGGATTGTCCCGGCTGCCAATCGCTGCTAATGGTCGCATTTGTAATGGGCTCCGCTTCAACGTCTGTCCAGGTGATCAGGCCAGGTTTTTTGGTGGTGCCACCAACTGTTGCTGCTGCTGCTGTTGTTGTTGTTGGTGCTGTTGGTTTTGTCTGCAATTTGGGCGCTTCGGTTGTGAGCAGCGTTGCAGCAGTTGTTGTTGTTGTTGTTGGCGGTGCTGCTGTGGTGCTTGTTGTTTTCGTTGTATGCCGGCGCGTGGGCTTGGGCGTGCTTGTTGTGGTTGTTGTTGTTGTGCTGCTGCTGCTGCTGGTTTGCTTTTTGGGCGCTGTTGTTGTTGCTGTGCTGCTGGTGCTTGTTGTTGGTCTACGCGTACTTGTTGCTGCGGTTGTTGTGCTGCCGGCGTCCGCCAGCAATGCTGGCACCTTGACAATCTCGCCCGTTGGCTGTGGCTTTGGTCTGGGCGCCAGCGTTGTTCTTTCCGGCAGCTTGCTGCTCGTTGTTGCTGCTGCCGGAGTTTTATGACTCTGGCTAGCAGTAGCTACTGTGGCTGTTGTTGTTGTGCTGGTGGTGCTATTAGCTGGCTTGCGAGCGGGCAATGTTGTTGCTGTGCTGCTGCTGCTGCTGTCGCTGGGCTTGCGCGTTGCAGTTGTTGTTGTTGTGGTGTTTGCTGCTGCTGGCTTCTTGACAGGCGCTGGCCGTCTGCTAGACTGCGGCTTGTGTGGCTTTGGCGTGGTGGTGCGCAGCGGTGGTGTGGGACGTGGCGTTGTCGTCGACGTCGTCGTTGTCGACCTTGTTGTTGTTGTGGTTGTGGTTGGCGCTTTGGTGGTTGTTGTTGTTCTGCTTGTTGTCTTAGCAGCTGCTGAGCTGCTGCTGCTGCTGCTGCTGCTGCTAGCGGTGGGCCTGGTGTGCCGCCTGGTGGTTGTCTCGGGCAAGCGATTGGTGGGTTCGGTGGCTGTTGGCGTGGTTGTCTCCACAATCTGGAAAGTGACAAACTTGCTGGGCACCGTCGTGGTCTCAATGCGCTGCTCAAGCGCTGGCACGGTGGTTAGCACTGGACGTGTTGTGGTGGTGCGACGGCGCGGTGGCTTAACGGTGGTTATCAGCGTTGGTGCTGCGCTGGGTTTGACTGTGGTGCGCACCACAAAATGTGAGTGCTTGTGGGTGGTGTGCGCGGTGGTGGGGCGACGCGTAGAGCTAGGCGAGTGGCTTGTTGCTTGACTGCCGCTGCTGCTGCTGCTGCTGCTGGTGGTGGTGGTGCGCACCGGCTTCATGCTGCTCAAATAGCTTTGAGTCACATTTTTGAGCAGCTCGCTGGCGGTGTTTTGCTGCTGCTGATAATTGTGGTTATGCGTGGTGCTGCTCTCGGTGGTTAGCTTGAAAAGTGCACTCGTAGGCAACGTGGTGGATTCGTGAGAGAAATGTGAAATCGTATTCTGATCGATGCTATTGTCGCTTATCTCCGGCGCAAACAGCGAAGCCTCCTCCTGCGGATGGAGATTGGTTTATAATTAGTACACAAAAAATAGATTATAAAACTGGTTGCAGATGGGAGCTTACCTTGAGCGCACAGCACGAGCCAAAATAGAAGCGATCAATGCAGGTGCCCAAATGGGTGCCATTCTGCTTGATGCAGTCGATGGCAAACATGCAGACACCCGAGCGTCCCGACTTGCGCACTATGCAGGGCAGGTGGCGTATGTTGCGACCGGATTGAACTGTGGGTGAATAAACGAAAATTTAAATGAATACAGGCTCGGCTGATAATAGTAATGTGAAAGTGTGCGCTAAGGGATGGGATGAATGAAGGGCAAAATAAATATATACCAAATAATTAAGAAAAAAAAATGAATGTAAATAAATTAATTTTTTCTTGCTTTCAACTATTAATGAAGTTCTAGGAACAAGTGTATTGATCTTAATTAAATATATGACATACACATATATCATCATTATTTTGAAGATTTTTGCTTTTGCGGCTCTAGGTACTTTATTTTCTTTTTTAAATACACAATTTATCCCCAATATATTTAGTCTCTTCACGAGAAATGTTGTCAGGGTTATATTCAACATACAGTGTTCAGTTGTGAAGCTATTAATCTGAATACTTAATCTGATTTATTAGAGCCCATTTTCTCGACCTTACTATGTTTTGTTTTACTTGTTCAATTGTATTGGTGTTTGGTGTTGGTGTTTTCGTACTTTTTTCTAGCGTACACTATGACAGAAGAAACTATTCACTGCAACTCAGCACTTAAATAAATATTTTTTCATATAATAATTATTCATCTACGTTAAAATGATTTTTTTTATTTGTGTTAGTTACATTTTTCTCTCTGTGTACGCTTAACAGTACGACAATTGCTCTGCGCTTTGCTCCGTATTCTTATTGCTATTCTGATGCTCCACACCATTTCCGTTTGTTGGGGCGATTAACGCCTTCAATTTGTACGCCAATTTGAGGCAGACGTTTACCGTTATTCAAACAGTTAACACAAGTGAAAAAGAAGTGGCAACAACAACAACAACAACAACAGCTAGCGGCAGCCGCTTCAACAGGCCATAAAAAGCAGCGGCATGAAGCTTGCTGAAGGGCGTCCGCCTGAGCCCGATGAGGCAACACGGCAACAGCAACAACAACAACAACAGCAGCAACAACATTGGCAACAGTAGCATTATTATTATTATTCTTTTTATTCTTTTTATTTATTTATGAATTGCCTCTTTAAGCATCAACATTGTGTGCGCTGGGGCCATATTTTGTAATGGAGCCCAGTTTGTCGTGCGTTCAGTCTTTGAACTTATGTAATTGCAGGCGACACATACAGAGAGAGAGAGGCAGAGAGTGAGTGAGTGAGTGCGTTGCCCCAAACGAAAGACTTAAGCAGCAAACTCGGCGCCGCCTGTAAAGAACCTTTTGTATGTTTGCACTTCGCGCGTTCATAAATTAACAGCGCAGCGGTAGCTGCCGTGTCACAGGCAACGTGTTAAGCGCAAGTTACATGGAGTATAAATTTCGTGCGATTTACTCGTAGTTCAATGTTAAATCAGAAGCCCCATCTGTGCTTGTGTGTGTGTGTGTGTGCTTTGCGTTTATTGAACTTTAACTGTAAAGCTGATGTATACAAGAGTTTATTGGTTATGCAATTAACACGAAATGCTGATATATTGTTTGAGCCAGCGCAAAACAAATGACTTAAGACACGAACCGTGGCCAAGAACCCAACAAAAAGCACAGACAGCACCGAAAAATCGAATGCCGGCACTCACACACACACACACACTTCTGATTAAATTTCTGTAGTCTAAACTTTGTCACGTTTCATAGACCCAGCGCAGCGTCAGCGTCAGCGTCTGGCGTTCGCGTTGGCGTTGGCGTCAACGTCTCAGCTTTTTCTTCGGGTTGGCTTCTTCATTTTCTTCCTCTTGTTCTTCGCCTGGTTCTGTGTTTGCATTTCGTTTAGTGGCTTTTTGGGTCAACAGCTTAGCATATGTTTCGCTAGCCACTCGCCAAGCACACTGACTGCCTACAAAACAGCCAGCTAGCCAGCCAGAGCAGCGTGGCCCAGCGTGGTCCGAGACCCGCATTGCAATGTCGGATATTCGTTTTTGGCATGCGAATGCGACGCTGCTGCGAGCCACACTTTTGTGGGCGACTTGATCGTGGCGTCTATATATTGGAAATTGGGTCAGGCGCGTCATGACCTCAAGCCAAGGCGTGGCCGGCATGGGGCGTTAGTGTTAGAGTGCTGACCAGAGCGCTGAGAATGAGTTCATGGGCTGGCATTGTTTTTATATTTATTTCCCTTTCACTTGGCGTCAATTTACTTTCCGCTTTCTGCGCGGCATCTTGTTGTCTATAGAGGCAAGTACAAAATATGTATATTCTTTTTTATTGTTATTGTGTCTGTTGTTGTTGTTTGTATTGTTGTTATTGCCTGTTGGTCAGCTTTGGTCCAGTCGCAAGTCATAAAAATGAAATGCTTGCCACCTTAGCGCAGCCACTGCCAACGGCCATTGTTGTTGTTGCTGTTGTTGTTGTTGTCTGGCACACGCTTTCTTGCGGCTGCGCTGGTGGCTCATTTTTATGGCAACATTCTTTGATGGTTGACCTCAATTGCTTTTGCTCGCTGACGTTTGGCCGTTTGCCGGCATTGCCAGTTTTGGCTCAGTGTTTGCTTTTCAGCCAAGAAAGTTGTGTAGTTTTATTTCCCAACAAAACTCTCGCGAGCTCTGAGCTGCGGATGCTGCGACAGCGATTGTAACTGCCTCAAGCGTTGCTCATTGTTGTCAACAAATTGACAGCTGTTGCTGCTAACACATGACTTATGGCATCCCCGGCCAGAGGAAGTGCTAATCGTATCCAAATTTGATTCTTAATGGCTGTGACCCAATTAAACCATGCTCAATGCGCAACGCCTGTCGCTGTCGCTGTGCATCATTAATTTTGATTACTTTCATTTGAGACGCCACATGAGAGCAGCTTTAGCTCGCAACTTCTGACCATTCAAGTCAAAGAACAAGTTTGTGTCTTGAGTCTTTCGCTTATATTTTGGCAATCAAATTTGATGGACTTTTTGTTTAGCTAGCTACCGAAGCTGCTGCTTTGAGCGAGCCGAGCACAAATTACATGGCCATCAACAGTTTTAAAAGTTTTAGTTCTAGTTTTCCGTAAGTGCTGAAAGGGTAATAAATTTGTATGCTATTAAACTGAGATTCAGTGCCTGCTCTTATGCTGCTTTCTACACAGCAATTGGACGTGATATATAAAGATGATTTTCTAATTGAGTTTACCTTTAAATCGATAAACTTCTTATGTTCTTGATCAGGAAAACAAATTGTTGTCTGTTGTCTGCCTGCTTGTCTTTATGTATAATAAGCTTCTCAGTTTTTGGGTTATCTTAATGGAACCTTTTAAATGTATCAAAACAAAATCTTATTAAAGCAAAGATAATTTTCATTATCTGCCAGTTCTCATAAAATGTTTTAATTAAAATTTGCATTCCGTTTCTTATTGTACCAACCGCTGTAGAATTTTCACAACTTGCACTCGCTTTTATTTAACTTCATTTAATTTCATTGTTATCATGGTTCACGCCCCAAAAAAAAAAAAAAGAGAAGAGAAAAAATCAAGTAAAAAGCATTTTAATAGCCTACGTGAGAGAAAGTGCTGGAGTTCTGTGGAAAACCCGTCAACAGGGGCTCAGCTGCGTGATGTCTTTACAAGTATCTTGAGTGATGCCAGAGAAATGCCCGCCAAAAGCTGTCAGGTGACAGCTTCATAAACTAGCTACTTACACTGCGCTAAGCTGGGATTATCCACAAAGATGGGGCTGGCTTCCAGTGCGGGCAGCAGCAGCAACAGCAGCAGACTGCCCAGCGCCAGGATGAAGATGCTGCTCATGGTGTTCGGGCTGCTACTTCTGGCGTTGATCGATGCGGTCTCTGTTGTGCTGTCTGCTCTACTTTTGCCCGACGTAGTCGTTGCCGTTGCCGTATCTGTGGCTGCGTATCTGTATCTGTAACTTTGCTGGTGCTGCTGCAACGCGCCCATCTGCAAATGGAAAATAAACATTTTTATTTATGAGTCATTGCGGCAAATGTGAAACGTTTTACGGGCCTTTTCCGTATTCAAATTAAAACTAAACACGGAATTTCTACCACACAAGCCATGGGCACGGCAAATATAACAACAAAAGCAACATCACAAAAACATTCAGACAGCAAGTGCGTAGAAGCATTTGGTGACTCAAGCTCTTCAAGTAGGTGAAAGTCGTTCGCTTCGAGTGACTTGCATATGCAAAAAAAATTTGTTAAAAATACATAAAATAATAACAAAACTCTAGAAGGCGAGAAAGACTTTCTACAGCACAACGAACTCAGGCTACGCTTCAGAGGTTACCTAACAATTGTGCAGAAAACTTGCTGAGAATTTACCTGAGCATGTGAAGTCTTAGACTATTAAAGATGGGGAAAGAATTTAGGCATACACAGAGGAGCCATTCATAAGAGGGAATACTGTAGAAAGAACTTAAGAAATGTTTACAAAATATATCTTTTTTTAGTTAGGAAAATCGACATTATTTTTTCAAAGTAATATCTATCGATATTTAATTTTCTTTTGTAGTTCTTAAATAGTTTTCTGCATGGACAAATTTTAAATCTATTCTCAAGGAGTAAAATCTTATCATACTTCGGTTTGTCTTAAGGCACCTCTTTCTCCCTTTCTAACTATCTCTATTGAAAAACGAAGAAAAGCATTTAGAATGTAAACCCAAGTTAAAAAGCTTTAGAATTTAAATTCCCAACGCAGAACTATGTACTTTCTACACATCATCCATAGCACAACCAGAAACTTTACAAAGCAAAGTCTGCTGTGCCGTGAGTGTTAACAGCATGACGAATTGATTATACCCAATGCAAAAAGTGTATAGAAACCAAGTGAGAAGAAATTTAAAATTGCAAATAAATGTAGGGAGAACTGGGCGTATGTGTAATTCAGCCACCTGCTGGCGGCATTATTGTTGTTGCTGTTGCTGCTGCTGTCGTTGTTATCGAGTGTTTAGTCATGCCCAAAGCGCCCAATGGAAAGCAAAAGTGTGCGTGTGTGCTTGTGTGTGTGTGTGTGTGCGTAGAAAGCGCTCAACAACGTGCTAATGGGTGCCCGCAGTATCCCATCAGAGGGAACTATGGATTGTATAAGCGTTTATATAACTGTATAAGGTGCAAACGAGTGGACACAAATGTTGCAGCATTTGCAACTGGTTCTCAGTGCGATAAAGTTCAATAGACGCCTAATTGATGGGCGGCTGCAGCTGGTGCTGCTGCTTCGGCTGAAGAAAGTTTCAGCCCATGACAAATGTACAGATATGATGACATAAACTGTAACAATCAAAGAAAGCGCAACAAAAGAAATGCCCAGCGGTGTGCAGGGGCAAACGGCAGGGATGAGTCGTCTGAATCTAACTGGAACTGGAACCGAACCGAACCGAGACCCAACCTTCTGATGATGAGCACCATTTGGCTCACACGCTGTGCTGTGGCTTTGGCGACGATGTTTTCATTGATTCGTAAGCAGCATCATTAGAAGTTAGCTGTATGCTCCCTCTCCCTCTCTTTCTCTAAGCTCCCCCTTTCTCTCTTTTTCGCTCTGCTCACACGCTCGTCACGATCTGCAGCGTTGAGCAATTTCCTGTCGCGCTGCGTTTGTTTGGAGCGTTTTCTTTGGCCAACAACAACAACATCTGCTTCTGCTGCTGCGGCTGCGGCTGTTGTTCGTGTTCTAAGGGGCTGCGTTGCGTAATACGGTCATTGACATTGGGCCAGAACCGTTGCCTCAAGCTTACAGGCATTTATAACCGCATGCGGCTGCGTGTGCAAAAAAGAAAATAATGCTATAAAACGTTGTAAGCTAAAGTCTAGCAACTCTCATTAAAATAAACTCTAATTAATTTCAAGTGCGTTATAAACCTGGCTATCTTTAATACCCTGTAGAAAGGAAGGATTCAGAAAATGTAGTATGCGGCTAACTATATATCTATAATTATCGAAAATTTAACCAATTTTTATAGTTCGGACTTGTAGCACTTAAATCGGGTATTAGTAGTTAAAACTTTCATCAAATTTAATTAAAATATATTTGACTCTGCTCTGCCACATAAATCGATAATTATCGATGGCAGGCTGAAAAAAATCGATAATTCTCGATTAGTATGCTCAGTATGATAATAATTGCCAAGCATTTTAATTACTCGTAAGTTATTTTTGTTGTTATCAAATTTAATTAAAAATATTGCTAGCTCCGCTCTGCCGCAGATATCGTATTCTTATCATAATTTATGAAGTAGACCCGAAAATTGTAAGCAGCTAAAGATATCGAATGCGATAGGCAAGTTTCTAAGTAGTTTTCGGACAACTTTCTAAACTTCTTCTGATAAACTTTACATGTCAATTTCAAGCAGAATTCTTGGAGTTATTGCCTTGATTTTTGACAAATAGTTGAATTTAAGTGTCATTTACTTATTCTAATCACTTAACAACTTCAAGAACTCCTTTGATCTTGATCCAGGGCAACAGCTAGTTGCGCAAGCTCCTATATAGCATGCTTGTTCTTTATTGTAGCATCGTCGTTGTCTAATGGGCGTTAACTTAGGCGCAATTAAATGTAATTTATGCGGTCGCATAAAAAAAAATTAAACTTTAACCAGAACGGAAGCTATAAAATATATCCGCATGAAAAGCAACGATGATTGCTTTTAATTAGGTGCCAGAATCGGCAGCTAATTGCAGCTCAGCATCAAAATTTGTGAGATTTGTAGATTGAAGATTGAAGCTATCTACACAGCACACAAATATCGCAGCGCACACAACAGCCATTGTGTGTGTTTGGCCGGACGGCTATTTGTGTATTTGGGTCACGTTCTTGACTCGCCATATAAATATCAGATGCGTGTAATTGTATTCGCGTTCCATTTCGAGAAATGTGCAAATTAACATGAATTTTGTAGCTACCGTCGATAAACCAGTCGTCCAGTCGGCGGGACAGACGCACGTGAGTCGCAGAATATCTTTAAACTGGGTCACACACAGATGATTTGCATGATTTTATTTTTCTTTAGCTGAGTGAGAGAGTGGAGGCGTTGCCTGAAAACAATTAAGTAATTTCCACTTGGGCAAATAAAAATTTGATGTTTATTTCCACTCGACATGTTAAAAGTGAAATTACAAGTTTTTTTTCTGAGGGAACTTTTATTTTGTGTGTTTGTTTTTTAATAAAAAGGCATTTGTGTGTGTGTGTGTGAATAACACTTGCCTTAAATAAAAGCGAAAGCCACACAAATTGTACTTTTTATATGGCAGCTCTTCTCACTCACTCGCCGGGGCCATATGAATATATACATATTATATCTATATATGTTTATTTGTTTAAAAGAAAAGTGAAATGCATGCAGAAAGCATAATATTGTCATATTAAATTAGCCAAATAAAACGAGAAGAGGAAGCAGCGGCAGACGAACAAAAGAATTATGCCATTTGATATTTGGTTGCGCACATAATCAAAACCAGAAGTGCGTCCACTTTTGCTGCCACAACTTGGCTTTCATTTCTGTTGCTGCTAACCAAAAACGGCTTTGGAGAAATTCGAACGTGTTGGCACTGTGCGTGTATATGTGTGTGTGTTTGTGTTTGTGTGCTGTCTATTGCTAGCTGCGGGATGCGGGAGTTCATTAGTTCAGTAAGCTCTAGAAAGCCAAGTTAAGGCACGCCACGCCACACGCACACAAACAAAAGACTTAGGGCACAAACTTGAACGACAAAATTTCTCAATTACTTTTGCCGCACGCAAATTATTATAATTAACATGGACTTAAACGGAGCAACTGGGGGGCGTATAATCACAGCAGCAGCATCTACCTCAGCAGCAGCAGCAACATCTCCTGCTGCAGCTCCAGTTACAGCTTCTGGTGCAGCTTTTGAGCCTCTCGTCATCTCTGGCAAAACCAGAATAAGCAGAAATGCAAATAATGCTAAAGGCGCGCCGCTGCCTGCTGCCTGCTGCCAATGGGGGGAGTTCGCTCAGTGGCAGCTGTTGGAGCCTCTGCATTTTAGACCAAAGTCAAAGCCAAGCGACAGCAACAACAACAACAACAACAAGAACAGCTAGCAGACCAGTTCCAAAAAGAAGTTTTTGCTCTTGTGTCTCGTTGGCTGCTGCTGCTGCGGCAATTGAAACACTTGCCTCTTGTAGCTGCCGCTTGTTGTTCTTGTTGTTCTTGTTGCTGTTGTTGCTGTTGTTGCTTTTAACAGGAATTTCAATAAAAATTTTGCAGCACAAGGCAACTTTTGCTTTGGACTCGTTTGGCTTTGGCCGTTGATCAAAATCAAGGCGCTTGAACTTGTTGTTGCGCCTGCTCTTGTTTTGCAGCAACTTGCTGCCTGTTGCCTGCTGCTGCTGTTGCAGTTAGTTGCAGTTATGCGCAACTATTGTGCATGTGTATGAGTGTGTGTGCCTCTAATTGACTTGTACGTGGTAGAAAGTGCGCTGCAGCTACTTAAGCACACACACACTCGCACACACAGCAACGGTGCGCGCGCATCTAAAGATTTTTTGGGGTCTGTATCTTTTGCATTTACTTGCGTGTATCTTTTTTTTTTTTGTTGCTTGCTTTTTGTTTATTTGGGTTTTTACTGTAGATCAACTTCACTGTCAACTATTTTGGGGTCATTTCTTTTAATTTGCTTCCAGCACTGTTATTATTGTATTTTGTTTTTGTTGGAATTATGTGTCTGCTGTTAAAGTTCTTGCGGCTTTTTTTTAGTTTCTTATATCTTTTATGAGTTTTTTCACATTTGGCTTTTGTTTGACACTCACGCTGCTTGTGTGTTGTTGCTGATTGTGTTCTCTCGCTTCCTCTTGCGCGTTCTTTTTCCCAGACTGCCTTTTTGTTTTAGGCCCAAAAAATGTGGATATATATAGTTATTATATATATTTCCAAAAAAAAATCAAAGAACTGTTTAAACTTTTGTGTTTCAGGATTATAATTTGTTTACTTTACGGGAAAACTTTTGAACTTTTTGCTATGCAGCTACGCACTGGCCAAGCCAATTTGAGGCCAATAACTCAAGTTCTATAGGCACACTCGCACGCACACACACACGCGCGCGCACACACACACACACACACAGATGCGACGGAATCGACGTAACCGTAAGGCGAAGCAAGTCGTTGCCGAAGCACGAAGAGGAGCCAAAGACCGCGTTGAGTTGCGCACGTCTGGAGAGAAGCGCGCATACAAAAGATCCACACGCCAGTTGAAGCCAGCCAAAGCCAAAGACAAACTCCGACGCGAACGTTGGCGTCGCAGTCGCCGTCGACGTCGCTGCGGCTGTTTGCTGAGATTTTGCGACTGCGCAGCACAGAGCGCTGAAGAACGACTAAGCTAAATTGGTAGTAGCTGAAGAGGCAACAAACACACACACACACACACACACACACACACACACACACACACACACGCACGCACGCACGCACACTCATATGGAGAGCCGCAACATGTGCGCATGCGTAGCCGGGCGATGCTGACGGCGACGCTAGCAGCGACTGCGGCAGCGACGCTAGTTGAAGCTTGGCGCATAACGGTTTCCATTAAGGCCAGTTCACAAAATGGTGAGAACAACAAATGCTAGGAGGCTGTTGTTGTTGTTGCTGTTGCTTATTCAAATGAACAGCCACACACACACGTACACACTGTCAGACGCACACACACACGCTGGCACACTCTCTCGCTGCTCTCTTGTTGTCACAGCCACAGCTGATTGGCGGCATTTGTATGCTAGCTGCGACTGTTGCGGGCGAGGGCTGCGGGGCAATACAGCTGAAGTTTGGGGTTAACAGCGCTTTCACATTAAAATAGCAAGAAGCGGCTACAACAACAAGAACAACAACAACAGCGAAGCGCAGTTGTTAACTTGGGAGTCTCTCGGTGGCTTTTTCTTTAATATATATTTCTTTTTTTTTTTGCTTTTTTTTTTTGTTTTTTTTTTTTTTGTTTTTGGCGTGTGGTGCAAATGAGTGTTGCTCACAGAGCCTGTCGCCATTCTTTGTTCAACTAACCGACGCTGTATGCGCTTGTGTGTGTGTGTGTGTGTGTGTGTACGAGTGTGTGTGTCGCAGTTTGTTTGTGTTATAATTTATGCACGTCGTCAGGTTAAGAAAGTCAAACTTTATTAACGCTGCTGTTAGCTTGTCTTTCTGTATACCTGTTTATGCTGGCCGCTGATAAGAATTGCCTGCAATTTTTGCTAATTAAGCTGCCAGTAGCCCATTAAGCTATGCTTTTCAGTTCTCAGAAAACACACACACACACACATATTTTGATACTGTAAATGCACTTTTTAAGCAGCTTAAAACGTTCTGTTTTTGTTTATGCTTAGCTCACTTGCAATCAATGAATAACAACGATAAGAACAACAGCAGCGCACACACGCATAAATCACGCTCAATCAATCAATCAAACAATTAATCAATTTGGCTTAATGGCACAGCATTTGGCACACACAGCTACTTAGCGGTTATATTATTAAAATGCGGCTCATAACATTTTCTTTTGTTTAGTGTGTGTTTTTATATATTTTTTTTAAATTTTAAGTTAAGCAATCGACGCACAACAAACGCTTTGAACTTGAGAGACCTTGACACTGGCGCTGCTCCACAGCAACTGAGGCCGGGCCCAGCCAAAAGCAGGCAACAAGTTGCGGCCAGTTGGCCAGTGCTTTGGACAAGAGGAGCAAACAGCAGGCTAAGCAGCAACAAAGAAGTGGAATTTATTTGCTGTGGATGCCAAGAGCATAACAGAGCCAAAAAGTGAAAGAGAGCGTGTTGTGATGAGAAAGAGAGAGAGAGAGAGAGAGAGAGAGAGAGTGCGCAACAATCAATGAAGCTGCGACTGTGCCTGATAAGGCAGCTGACTCAAGCCGCTTAATTAGCTAATCTTGTGTTGATTATGTTATTTGTTGTGATTTCGTGCAGCTACTTACCAAAACGCACATGTGCACACACTTTCCAACAGTTGTTGCCCATGTTGTTAGTTTTTGTGGCTGCCACAACGGAAGTTGCATCATTAGAAATTCTGTGCATGCCGCGTGTGGCTCACCTGTTTGTTGACCAGCCTGCGCCACAGTCAGTCTGTGTGGCACTTGCGCTTCTGGGAAGATGTGTTGACTGTGTTTGTTTTTATTTAACTGCTTTTATTTACCTCTTCTCCCTTTCGTTCTTATCAGGTTTTTGTTTTCTTTGTTTCTCTAAATATTTGATTTGAATCGGCCGCACAACCTGTTGTAACTGTGTGTATATTGTGGCTGTCAGTGCTGCCAACTTGGTGCAAAGTGTTTTTTGTGTTGGGCAGCATCATTTTTTGTAGGCTCGCAAAAGTATGCTATGCTTTTTATTCAAATCAGTTGGGAGTTTGTGTCCTAAGTCTTTTGTTAATTTATCTAAAACAAGCGGAAAACTTTTAAAAATGCAGTTTCAATTATTTTCATGAAATATTTTATATGTAATTTCCATATAATTTTCCTGGCAATGTATATAAATTGATGGTTTTATGAAAGTTTTCAATTGAGAAAAGTACAAGTCGAGACAAAAATGAAATTTTTGGTTTTTTAAATACATTTATTATTTCGTTTTTAAATATTAATTTAAATTAAAATACATTTAGGTTAAAATTCATGAAACTCTATGCGAATAATTGTAATAAATATGTTAATGTTTAGTGCTTAACATTAAAGTGGAGCCGCATTGAGTGGAATATCTTGAATGGGTTAAAACCAACCAAAAATAAAAAAATAAATAAATTGCAGCTGCGTACTGATTGAGAGCTTTAACTTAAACACTAGCAACCCCGAGTCGTAGAGGAATCACATGGCCAGACAAACGGGTGACTGCAAGCGGTTGACTGCAGTCTTCCAATTGATTAAGTGATAGCCGCATGTGGCATATGCACACTGTATTCACGCATTGTTGTCATTGGCCATAACCTTGTTGATCCACGGTACAAAGTGCTGTATATTGGTATAAACGCCCGGCAGATGCTCCCTGCCGCAGCCAATGCCCCACGAGACGAGGCCAATAAGCGTCTTGCGGCCATCCATTGTAAGCGTGAGCGGCCCGCCGCTATCGCCCTGGCAGGAATCCCGGCCGCCCTCCTTATAGCCAGCGCACAGAAATACCTGGCCAAAAGAGAAGCAGGGCATAAGGAGTTACTCATGTGAACTTAATTTAAAGTAATTGTTAAAACTCACATCGTGGATGGCCTCGCGTCGTCCGGCTGCGCGGAACCAGCGCTGGCAGCGATCATTCGATATGACCTCCACATCCACCTCCTGCAGCACCGAGGGTACCGTGCTCTGACCATGCCGCGTGCGTCCCCAGCCAGCCACAGTTGCCATTTTGCCGGTCAACTTTGTGGTGGGTGGCGGCAGGCAAACGGGTATAATGTGCTGCTTGTAAACCACATTGCGATCCAGCCGTATCAGCGCCACATCGTTCTTGAAATCGGCGGGATTATAGTGCGGATGCACCTCCTTGCGCTCAATGCCATATTCCTCGTGATTGAGACGCTCCTCCTGGCCGCGCACATCCCACTCGCCCAGGCGTATCTTCATGTTCGAATTGGTGGTGCTGCCATATAAAAAGTGTTAGGTCTTGGTTAGATTTTAGCTTTCCGTCTACTTACGTGGCCACACAGTGCGCGGCAGTAACCACCCAGCGATTGGATATCAGGGCACCGCCACAGCTCAGTTTGCGCGTGAGAAAACCGCTCTTGATGAGCGCCACCTGCCAGGGATGTGAGCCAAAGCCCGTCGAGTGGCCGCCTACGATGCGATTGGTGCGTGAAAAAACCTCACCGCAGCCTGTGGAGAGTCAAGGAGCATGGGATTAGTTAAGGAAAATGCAAAGAACAAAGTGCGTGCAAAAAACAACTACATAAAATGGTGATTCAGAGTGGTGTTGTGTGGTGCATACTAAGGAAAACTTGCAGTGGTGCTCAAAAGAGAGAAAGAGAGAGAGAGTGAGAGTGTGTGTAACAAACAAAGAGAGCAAGAGAGAGAGAGTGATAACTGATAGATATTATAGAGGTTTTGGTACAGTTGAATTGATTTTAGTACCCGGCACTGGACGATAGCTGCCGTCATTGTAGCCACCACCACTCTCGTATTCATCCGCCGCCTCGCCCGCATTCAGATCGAGCACATTGCCCACGGCAAAGGGCTGCGCCTGCGGCACATGTGCTGCCGTTGGACGCGTCGCGGCGGCGCTGTCTGGCGGCGCATCTGCATCAAAGAAACTATCCAGATGATTGGTGATGCCCAAGTGATTCGCGTCGTGCTCCCAGCTGTTCAGGCTGGAGGCGCTGGGACGATGTACCGATGAGCTGGAGCCGGAACCGGAGCTAGAGTTGGGCTTGTAGGGATTGCCGCTATAAAGCGATGGACGTTTTGTGCTGTAGTAGGCGTGGCTGGGATAGGCGGGACGTGCTGATGAGGCCGCTGACAGGCCGTTATTGTTGTTGTTGTTGTTGTTGCTGTTGCTGTGGTGCTGCTGTTGCGTCTGGTGATGTGGTTGATGATGTGCCGGCTTGTTGGCAGTTGGCGACAAGTCGGGATAAATGTCGTGCAAGTGTATTATGTCACCTGTGTGTAAGAATCATGATGATATTGCAGTTTTCCTCTATGCACAACCAGGTATTTAAGTACGTGTGTTTGTGTTGAGAGGGTGGGTTCGGGGAGGGGGTCTATTTAATTCGAGCTCAACTTTCGCTGTGATTCGTTTTAAGTAGTGAAAGACTTGAGCAAAAGTAATAATAATAAAAACACTGGGCCACCAATTACGGCTAGCGCCCTGCACGACTTTATTATGTCACCAAAACCAATGAAGTTGAAATTAAATTCACAACTAACACACACACACATACACACACAAAACACTCCACACACACACACCCGGCCAGTTGACCAAAGCCCATGACAGAAACAAAAGACAAACGTATGAGATAATTTTTCGCACGTAATTCAAAAATAAAAAATAAAAGAAAAGCCAAAAAAGAAAAAACGAACTGCAAGCGCCACAGAACGGCGCAAGTTGATTAACACTCTGCTTGTTTTTTATCCCCCATTTTTTGGCCGAGTTTCGTCTTGGACTTGAACGTATCAAACGAAATGCCGTAACTCTGGGCGCTGTGATTTTTCCCACATTTTAAAACAAACAAATAAATAAAAAAAAACCAACAAGCTGAATTAAAGCTTGATGCAGGCTCTGGCAAAAGGCGCAGCAACGTGAAATTTCACTTTTAAAATGCAAAAAACGCTCACCTTCGTTTATTTCCGCAACCGTTTTTATTTTTACTTTTATTTGTTTCTTATTTTTTGGGTCTTTTCATTGTCGCGTCTGTGGCTTGGCTTTTGGAAAATTTTACACTTGAGCAACACGCAGACAGACAAAAAAATTAAAATAACAAAAATCAAAATTCCCAGAAAAACTATGCGCCACATTTTCCCTTAAAGAAAGTGAGTAGGCAAAACAGAACGCGCATACTTTATGAGCTTTACGAAAATTACCTCCAAAAAAAAAAAAAAAGAGAAAAACATGTATAACAAAAAATGAGGCCAAAATTGGGCTGTTAAAAAAATTTCCACTAAGAATTATTTACAACATGTTGTAATGTGTTTTTGTTTTAGTTTTTGTTGCACATTTCTTGGCCAGCAGAAGCCTAGAAAATTAAACAGAGCACAACAAAATGGCAGCAAGCTGCGCGGCAAGTGCGCTGCTCTGTGTGTATGTGTGTGTGTGCGATGTGTGTGGCATAATATGTTGTTGTTATTGCTTATAGTTTAGCTCATCGCATTGCTGGCTGAGATTACGTTATATCAAATGCACTTCAGGGTAATTGAATTTGTTCAAAATCAATTTTAAGCCGAGAATGTGAAGTGCAAAAATACAATAAAACGAAAAAAAAATAAATAAATTGTTTTTGTGTAGACTTGGCAGACAAGGTGTTAAAGAAAAAAATTAGCCAAATAATAGATTTAGGGAATATTTTGCTTTGTATATTTAATATACAATTTTATAAAATAAATAATACTTCAATTATAACTATTAACATACATAATTATAATTATTATTTTTTTTTTTAATTTTGCGCATTTTTTTATGGTCAATATTATTCCCAGCTTGTAATAATTTTGGAAATACGAATGCGAAGTTTTTAGCGAGCACATATCTAGACAGTTTTCTTTTTTTGACAATTCTTTGCCCTCACTAAGAGCTAATATTTCTTAGGCATTTTTGTTCTTTGTAAAGAAGATTTGATATTCAGACAGACTTCTCACACGTCTGTCAACTATTTATCTATAAAATATTAGCACACAGGCATATTGGCAACTCAAGGTCATAAAAAGAAATATATTTAGGTTTAGCATCTAGAACCCTGTAATATTTTAGTCGAATGTTCGGCAGATACACAGATAAATAAGTAGCTTCTTTTACTTAAATAACAGCTTATTCTTAGTACATATAAACTCTCAGACATGCTTCTTCTCCAACAGACATAAACTTGGAATCATGTATTTAGTATTTTTCCATAAGTAAAAGTTATATCAACAAAGCTCAACTAAGCAACATAGTTAAATTCAATTTAAAACTGATGTTTTGTTAGTTTATTTTGCTTGAGTATATAGCCTGAACGACCCATTTAATGGTCTACCATTGACACCTTCCACTCCAGCGCCCACTGCCTGAGAGTGCATTAAATGGAATTTAGTAATGCATTTGCTGTGCTTCTGCCTCGACTGCCCTAGGGGACGTATGTGTGTGTGTGTGTGTGTTTTTGCAGGCAGAGTCGAGCAATTTGTTGTCATTTTCGAAATGCGAACTAATTTATTGCGCTATTATACAGGGCATTGCATAAGTCGAAGCGCAGCAATTTGCAATTTGTGCTCGTAAGGCAAAAGAGCAGCAAATGCTACATTTAACTAAGCATGGCAAATGTACTTTGTTGGGATGAGGATTGCGAGGCATTGGAAAAGCAGCTGGGCGAAATGGGCGCCTATTAGAACTTAGTTACTGTTACTCACTTGTATTGTTGACCGGCGCCGCATGTGGACTCTCCTCGGCATCGATATCTTTGTCCACACAGCATGACCAGATCATGCCGCCCGAGCATAGATCCAGCGGCTTGCCGCCGCCCAAGACGCACGAGATGGACAGGCCGCATTCGAATTTGTGGCCACGGAAGCGGCACGATTGCGGTATCACTGCAAAGACACCAAAATAATGGGCATTAGTTAAGTTAACACGCACACACACAAACAAAGTCAAAAGTCAATTGGTGTAGCTAAGGAGCATGTACTTCGGGACAGCATTTCCATGACGCTGTTCTCGCCATAATAGCCGGTGCCGCTGCGTCGTGAGAGCGCATCCAGTATGAGCATATCGTGCTCCTGCTGTGCGCTCGGATAGCCCAAGGCGCAGACAACATTGCAGCCATTCGGCGCCAGGGCATAGATGAGCAGCAGGCTCAGCCATTTATCCTTTATGTGGCAATGCGTGTGCGTTCGGGCGCGCGACATGTCTGGCTCCTGTCGAGGAGCGCAACGTAACAAGCGCGTACTTTCACTTTCGGGTAGACACACTTGCTATTAGCTAGCAGCTGAACAGCTTCACTTTCTTTTCGACTGCGTCGCAATCCTGGACCACACTTATTTAGTATATTTGGTAATTTGAGTATTTAAAACTTGAGCAGGATTTCACTTTTATTATCGTTCAGCGGCCCAGCTACTTTCTTGCCGAGCTACGCATGCGCAACGACAGTTTTTCCACGCACGCAAAGAAAATTGTTATACAAAACGTAGCTGGGCTAGCAGCTGCAACAGCGCAAATCAAATATCGACCGCACGTCGGGAAATTCAGCTCAGAACTAAGCCAAAGTTTTGTGTTTGCGCTGCGTTAAAGCTGCCGAAGACATTTGCTCGCATTTCGCCATTTCACTAGCGCAGCCGAAGACGCCATGTGTGTGTGCGCTTGTGTGTGTGTGCGAGAGAGCTGAAGAGAAAGAGCGACAGCAACAAGTTGCCAGCAATTGTGCTGTTGCTCGGCAAAGGCAGCAACATGTTGCCAAGCGATCAAGTCTTGACTTTGATTTGGGTTTTTTTCTTTCGTATTTTTTCTTTTTCTGGTCAAGGTTTTTGGTAGAGCTGCGACGTTATGAGAGCTCTGAGCACAAATAATCTATAATCTATAGCATATAACATGTTGTTGTTTAACACTTTCGAATGTCGGCACAATCGCTGCAATTGTCGTTAATTGCAGTTGATTTTCCTGCTCTTGAGTATATAAAAAAAAAAAAAAAGACTTTTGCTTTTTCTATATTACATGGCGGAATGCCATTGAACTTGTGCTGCAATTTGCGCATGATTTTATGCCCGTGTGTTTTGGCTATCTTTTTCTTTAATATGCAGCTCTAGCTGGCCGGTCTTTCTTTTTTTTTTAATAATTTGTTAATTGTTTTAATGGAGCATTATGCGCTTTCGTCGGGGCGCAGAATGGGCCATATGTTAATGTCGGCTCGGCGTGTAAATAATGACCGCTCAACATTTTTTGTTTTAACTTTAAACTCTGGACCTGCGTTTCTCGAGCTAATTGGTTTTTGTGTTATTTTTTTTTTTTTTTGGAAAGTCCAATTAAAGCTGTGCGCATTTACAAGATGAATGAAGCCTGCTAGCTGCTGGGGCGCGCCAAGAATATGATACTAAACAGTATACCCAGCAAAGTTTTGTTTACTTTCGCTGGCTTAATTCGCATTTGGTTGCGTAGAAATCGTGGCGTGAATCATGTGAACTTGACATCGTATCGATGGCTCGGCTCAAGGATAATTAATATGCAAATTATGTAATTGAAATATGTTGATCATGTTTGCCAAGTCACTATTTGCAAAACGAAAGACTTAGGCAACGAACTTGCTTAAAATTGGATGGTATCATAAAACAGATTCTTGTGTTACCAATAGAAAATCTTTATTTACTAATTTGGATGGTATAAACCAAAGACTTAAGCAACAAACTTGCGTGGTGGCTAGTAAAGCGAATAAATTGAGCGAAACACACTTTGGGCGACAAAGTGTACAGTGTAGCATATCTTCTAGCATGTTCTTCCATTTATGTTACATAAGTGCCGCAACAGACTGGGAAATAAATCTAAACAAAGTTTGTAACAACAATTTGTTCAATGAACACATTTTTGTTCATACAAAACAAAAGACTTGGGCGACAAACTTTCAGAGTGAGTAATTTTCCTATTTACACAAAACAAAATATTTAGGCAACAACACTTGTCTACTTTTGGTCAAACCAATCGTCAAACAGGCAATTGCTTGTCAAAAAAAGACTAAGGCAACAAACTTGCATACTTACAATCGAGCTCATCGAAGAACTTGGCCTGTTTGGGCAAATCCTTGTCAATGGCCTGCTTCAGCTCCGGCGTGACCACCGTATTGTACACGGAGTTGTAGCCGCCGTGGGCGGCGACGAGGCAGCAACACAGACACAGCCATTGGCCAAGCAGCAGGAGCAGCGGCAGCGACGTTGGCAGCGGCGGCAGCCATGCAACTGGGCGCATTTTGCAATACTTTCGTTGTCGCTGTCGTTGTTGTGGTTGTTGTTGTTGTCGCTGTTGTCGTTGTTGTTGTTGCTGTCTTGTTGTCTGCTGATTTTGTGCAATTGTGTATTTCACTTAATTCACGTAGCGGCGCGAGTTTTTGATTGAATAATCGCGCGTTTGCATAGCAGGCGGCAGTTAAGATTGAATTAAATAAAATTCACAGCAGACAATTTTCTTAATATTTGGCAATAATTCCCGGTGCATATTTTGCGGCCATTTTTAATATTTTAACTTTTTGTGAAGTGCAGACGACGCGTCACGCACTTTTTCTTTAAGCTTTTTCAATTTGGGCTTTTGTTGGCATTTACACGTTGTTGTTGTTGTTGTTGTTGTTGTAGTTTTGAGCTGAAACCGAAACTGTTTTAACTGCGCTGCGGCGGTTTTGGCGTTTGCGAACAGTTTGCGGTAACGTCAAAACACTTAATAAACAGTTGGCTGACAAATTCAAAATCAAAAAGGCCATCAACACGCTCACCAACACGCAGCACGCAGCGCCGCAGCAGCAGAAGCAGAGACGTCGCAACGTTGACTATTGAGTAATATACGCCAAAGAGTGTGAAACAGAGACTCTCGACTGTGTGTGTGTGTGTGTGTGTGTGTGAGAGTCACACTCGCATCGAAATCGAAAGTGAAAAGAAACAGACAGAAACAAGACGTGGCCTCTGAGCAGAGACGAAAACTTTTGTCGCTCACTTGGCAATTGCATGTCGCCTGTCGCTTAACAGTTGTTGCTGCCGCTGCTGCTGCTGCTGCTGCCATGACTAATGTCAAATTTAGAGCTGTACACTAAAAGAAAATTAAAAGAGGAAGTCGAATTGTTTTACTCGCACCTCACATGTTGCCGTCAATTTGGTTTTTGTGGACTGCCGAATGTAATTTTAGCCAAGAGCCGTCGAAAAATCAACAAATTGTACAAATTGCAACAGGAAAAACCAGCAGACACGACTGGCGGCAGTCAGGCAGCCAAGCGAAAGCCAAACGCGCTTAACATCTTATTTCCAGTTTATCTCATGCGTGAAAAATCAACAGCAACAACAAATGTGATTTTCTTGCATTGAAAATTGAAAAGCCATCAAATCGAACAAAGCCCAAATAATTGATGGCTAAGTCTGCCTGATGATGGGGTTCATGGAAAACTTTTCGATGGTTATTGGCCGCAAAATTGATGACACACTTGAGACACTGTTAAATTGATAAACAAAGAAAACAATTATAAAACGAAGCAAGCATGTTCGACTAGCAGTTACCCTATAAAGGTGCTCTAAAATGAAATGAGAAAGCACCTGAAAAATGCTTGAATATTGAAATATTGTGTTTGTATTCAATATAAATACATAAAATCAGTTCTTTTAATCTACGTAATTAAAGGGTGTTAAAAATGAAAATTTTGATTATAATCGTATGGGGAAAAGGGAATTTAAAATTCAAAAATATTAAGTTCCTCTTTGAACCAATTTATATTCCCAAATATGTTACTAGCTTCTATAATCTATGATCCAGAGTTCGATATCGATATTTATCGAATTTCACATTTCAAGTACATTTAAGAAGCTTCGATTTGTTTAACTAACTTTTGTGCACGATAGTCATACCCTCGCTCACGATTTTGTGCCTACAGGGTATTCAAAACAAACGTAACACAATTTAAGTACTAGTGTTGGGCAATTGGCAGATGACACTCGTCGAGTCTTTGACTTAACCCAATCCTAATGTGTTTAATGTACAAATTATGATTATTATTTGCTGCTCGTTGTTGTTGTCGCTGTCGCTAGTTGCCTGTTGATTGTTGCTGTTGCTGTTGAGTTGAAAGCGGTTGATTGTGCCATTTATGGCAGCACCAACGAACAGTAAATGGGAAATGGGCCAGCGCCAGCGCCAACGAATGCCAAATGACATAACAAAGCAAATTTTGTTGTAAGTGTTGCAAAAGTGCGTAATTCAATTCAAAATTCCAAATGCACAGTTGCAGCCATCGTTCAAGGTCGTTCATTGTGCCACACACCCACCTAAGCACCCAAAAAAGGCAACTACACCCACTTACATTAGCTACATAATAATATTTAATAAATCTAATAAATTGTAATTTGTAATTTCGTTTTCATGCTGGTGATTGTTGTTGTTGGCGCCGTTGTTGTCATTGCACAGGCCATTGCTTAATGCTAGACGCCATAAACTAATGAGATTGCGTGTCACATCCCCGGGGAGCCGTCGCTTCAGTCTGCCATTTGTCTGGCTATAGCTCATTGTGCGCCACGACGTCTTCCACCCAGCGCAGACTCTTCTGCAGATTGTGATAGATGCCCGGCTGATGATCCACGCCGCAGCCAAAGCCGGCGCTGGTTATGCCCACGAGCACAAAGCGACCCCGTTCTTTGATGACCAACGGACCGCCAGAGTCGCCTGTAAGTAATGCAATCAGTTTATCAGATTATATAAATTTCGTATATATCTCAAGTTGACATTTATGAGTTTTGCTAAAAATGCTTTAAAGAGCTAGCGAATACGATAAAATTTAGTTTCTAGCAAGTTACAGATCTCTAGAACTCTTTGAGGAGATTATGGAGTTGTACTTTAAATTAAGTTGAGAAACTGTTAGCCAAGGAATACGCGTGTGTCTTCTCAATTTGTTTAACCTTAAACGATTCTAAGCAGGAGATATAATAATCCTCAAAGTTTCGAAAGCATATCCCACCAACAAACCTTTCGAAATTCCCTACAATTCTGTTAGTTTCAGCTCGGTTAACATCTCATTACACACAATCTTGTTAAGCGCGCCTCTGTTAACGGCACAACAGCGCGCTGTTAATGCGCAGCCTAAAAGTATGCAACGCATCTTTTGTCAGCTCTTACCTAAACACGCGTCCATATGCCCGTCGGAGTGACCGGCGCAGAACATTTCCGATTTGATTTCCACACTGATCTGTTTGCTCTCATGCCATCGAATGCACTCCAAGGTGGCTGTGGTTTAGATTTAAGACTGTCAGATCTTGCTTATTCATATAGAGAATTAATTGTACTTACAAATTATTGGCACACTGGCCACCTGCAGCATGTTGGTGCCCGCATGACCCATATGCGCCTCTGTCTTGCCCCAGCCGGCGATTAATCCCTTGCGTCCCACCAGCCGTATGGGATACTGTGGCAGGCATATGGGCAAGATGTGTTCGCTGAAACCCGTCGGGCGGGCCAGCTTAAGCAGCGCCAGATCGTAGCGGTCCGGCTGTGTGATGCGAAAGTTGAAGCGCGGATGTATTATCTTTTGCAGCACACTGTGCTTCTCCACGGGCAGCGGCTCTTGTATGTGGCCCAGATTCTGTGTGTCCAGCTCGCCCAGATACACGGTTATATCTGGCAGCTGTGCCTGCTGTATGCAATGCGCTGCCGTCGCCACCATATTAGCCGAGATCAGCACTCCCCCGCACTGATACTCCGCAATGCGTATATGCGCCAGCCACGGATACTCTGCAAACTGTGCCGGCCGTCCACCGATGATGCGCTTCTGCAGCGTATTCTGTGCTATGCGCGGCAGTCCACATTCGGGCTAGAACAGAACAGAACAACATATTAGTCAATACCCTGCAGCATAATTATTGATGGCATGATGGGCACACAGTTTTCACAGAGAATGCAAAAAAACAAAAAATCATAAAACTAGTTTTTCCATAATTAATTATCTCAATTGTCTTATTGTTAACACGGCTCACACGCTGTGCACTTGATGACTTTTGAAATGAACTCTTAAAAACTACAAAAGGATAATTACGGTATTTCTTAAAGTGCCAACAATGCTTAAAGAACGCTTACACAATCTCAATTATAGCTTGTGTGGGTAAAGTTATGATATTCCATAAAGAATATAAAGTACAAGGCCTCTTCTTAAAAACCCGCTCTCTGTTTCTCTTGTTATGCTATTGATGTTTATAAATAAAAGTCTGTCCAACTAATGGATGGTAATCGTGGATATGTTGCTTGCTGTAATTTCTCTATCCATGTTGTACAGTGTAATTGCTCAATTGTAGCCGCCCAAAGCACTTACCTTCAGATTGAGCAGCTCGTTATCATCGCGTCGCCGCAACATAATGCGTTTGGGCAGACTATTCAGACCCAGCTTGAGCTTGCCATAGTCGACCAGATTCTCCAGCGGCGACTGATGCGTATGCTGATGCTGATGCGGCTCGGCAATGCAGCAGCTAAATAGCCACTTGTTGCTGCCACAGCCCTTGGCATGCTTGCCGCCCTGCAGCCAGCAGGAGAAGCTCAGCTTGCAGGGCCAGACTCCGCTCTGATGCACACACTCGGCGGGCACGCCCAACAGCGTATTGAGTATACCTGTTGCGTATGAAGCATTAGCAAGATTCTGGCGAGGATTGGCTTTACTTACTGGCCTGCAGCGGCGCTAGTTGGCAGAGCAGCAGGCACAACCACAACAGTAGCATTTGGCCACATGAATGCCGCATTTCGAGTCACAGTTTTTCTGTACACAGAGTCACTAGTTGGCAGTCACAGTCACTGTTTTGTTTTGTGGGCGTTTAACACAATTTGCTGACAACTAAATTTATTTTTCGCTTAATTGTTGTTGATGTGTTGTTGTTATTATTGCTATTGTTGCTGTTAATGAAAGCATGACATTTTCTTATTCACTTTTATGTCGTCTATTTTGTGGTGTCTGCTGGTCTTGTTGTTGTTGCTGCCATCTTCTGCTTTACCATTTCGAGCTGCCAGCGCGCTCTTATTTCTACTTAGATTTCTTATTATTTTTTTGCTGCTCCACTTTTGCTGCTCTTTGTGGCTGCTGTTGTTGTTGTTGTTCTTCTTCTTGGGTGATTCTTCTGGCTGATTCACACACAGCTGGCGGCTAGCTTCAAAGCTGCTTGTGTCCTTGTCGCAACGAGTTCTTGAGCTAAATAGGTTAAGAAACGCCTTTTTAAATAATAACTGTGTCAATGCATTAGCTGCTGGCACAATTTTCAATTGCAGCCACACGCAGCACACAGAGTTTCACACATGGTGCCAATTGTGGCATGTCTCAAACACAGAAAACGCGCCGCGAGAATTGGCTAAAAAGGCAACAGCAGCAGCAACAGCAGCTACGACGACAACCGCACGCAATGCTGGCCAGAATCAAACTGAAGTCTCGGCTTTGGCTGAAGCTTGGTGCTTGGCGTGAGCTTCTGCTCGCCAACTGGTTGGCACATCTTGATCTTGGGCGCTAGTTCTCAAATGCAACGTCTGTCTAATTATTACGAAACGCAGGAAATGTTTGTATCAGGTCGACTTATAATTATTTTATGCGACATAATTGCAACAAGAAGAAGAAGAAGAACAACAAAAACCGTGCTGCTTGCATGCAACATATTTTGCTTTTCTATGGGAAATGGGAGCAGTTCTGCCCTGGCACAAGGTAGTAGCTGCTCTTTTTTGGGTTAACTGCGTGTCAGACGTAGGGGAGGGGCACGGGGAAGACATTCTTTTATGTAACTTTCTAAAAAGTAAACTCTTATTGATGATGCTGCTGCTCTGGCGCGGATATTAGCATATCAAAAATACAACTGAAATATATTTCAACTTTTGTGCGCAGCAGGCAGCAGGCGTTTCGCTGGGCTGTCAACTTTGGTGCTTGTCACTAAACAAACGAAAACTGAAAAACTACAAAAACCACACAAAACTCAAAAACCTTAAAAACCCCAAAAACTTACAAACCTCCACAAACACTTTTGCTTCCGTTAAAACAAGTTCTACGTACACATAAAAATATATATACATATATTTTTTTTTTTTTTTTAAATATAAACCGATTCGAAATTCAAATAGTTTATTTGCTCTGATTAAAAAAAAGATGGCTTGCAACCCACAAGCAGCAAAAGCTGCCACCCAGGGAATCGCTGCCGCACATGCCAGCAGCATTGCGTATGTACAGTGCCAGAATCTGAAGTATAATGCCATTATTATAGGCTGGCTGGGTGTCATCATATCAAGCGTGATGATCTTTAGCTCCATGATGATCATAAATATGCAAACCGATGTCGAATTGCTGATTAAACAAGTGCTGCTAAACCAGGTCACAGACAAGGAAATGCAGCTCCTAATGAATCGTAACTATACCAAACTATTCCATTGCATTGCTATATATATCCTCTATATACCTGTGCATCCCTAGTATTGGCTGCATTTAGTACAGTCGCCTATGGCATGTCTTTGATTAACTTGGGCGTCAGCCTGTTGCTGCTCATTGGTGTGGCTCGGGTGAGTATAAGAGCTTGGAAAAGCTGCTTCGGTTGACGGACATGCTTTATTGAAGGGTATTTTTACGCATGTTCATTGTAAATTTAGCATGAACTGACAAGTTATTTTATTTGCCAATTACGTTTTAATCTATATTTGTTAAATGATTATATTTGAGAAAGCTTGCCGGATAGGTTATCTCCATTGTAAATATTTGCAATGCATTGTATTTTTTTAAGAAAGCTTGCAAGATAGGATATCTTTTTTAATATTTGCAATGATTTGTATTTCTTTTAATTGGAAGAAACTTTAATATAGCTGCAACTAGCATGCATCTTGGCAATCCCATTTTAATCAATATTCCCCTTATTTAACAGGACTCGAGCAGCCTGCTGTATCCCTGGTTGATATATCACGGAGTTGTGTTCGGATTTGGTCTGTATATGGGTATATTCTATGCCATGGCTGGCCTATTTATAGATCTGTCTAGTTTCTTGATGTGTTTGCTGGTCTTCGCCCTTGTGCTAGGTAAGTCCCATTTGAATGTTATCTATACCAAAACTCCCAGTAATATGTGCGCCTGTGTACAGTGATTTATTATAAAATCTATCATGAGGTATTTACCCTATTTCGGGTTATGCAAGAACAGGCCTTACGTAGCGCACAATTTTGCCAGGATGCAGAGCATGCCTATGCCTCTGGCCTGCCATATTCGCCGCTATATTTACCTCGCTTTCCCTTCAAGCAATAAACAGCAAGAACAGTTCAAATAGTCGATAAATGTTGAGTATATATAATAATTAAATAATAATATCCAGCGATATTTTTTTCAACATTTACATAATTTATTTACACACAATTAGTTCATAAATAGTTTAAAATTACGTAACAGCGCATATGACTAAGTAAATTAATTAATAATTAATTTAAAGTTTAATTTGAAAATCGCTTAACAGATATCCCAAATGATATCCCCATAGATATCCCAACCGATATCTTGTAGCTACTAAGTTCTAATATACGCAGTATCCTCGTCTTCTTTTATAATAATAGAATTTTTGTTTGTGGGGCGCTGCGCGAAATTTGTTGAAAATTATTAAAAATATGCATAAATAAGATAAAAAGAATGCGAAAGTCTCGATAGAAGCCGTAGCTGTAGAAGTGAATTATGTACAAAATGCTTGCTGCAAGCTGGAGTTGAAGCTGGGCTTAAAAATAAATAAGACACAAGTTGCATAGCTTAAATGTTGGCTGTCAGGCCAACCACATAGGATATCCAGTCCACCGTATAGGCCAGACGATGATAAATGCCCTGCAAAAGGAAAAAATTTGGAAAGGTTTCACAAAGTTAGATTAAATTAGGTAAAGTTAGGTCGGGTTTGAAAAAGAAAGGTTCGGAAAAAGTTAGGTTTGCGTAAGATTGACATAGGCATCGTAGAACCTTTAGGTAGGAGTAGGGGAAAAAGTAGGGCGGATCGGGTATCCGCCCCCCTTCCCCTTACTAGCTTTTAGCATTAGTTAGGGTTTCTAGGATATAAACACTTACCGGCTGACCACGCGAGGCGCAGGAGTAGCCCGCCGAAACGACACCTGCAAATACCAAACACAGCTTAAATTAGGAGCTCTCACCTATAAGCCCGGGCCCCGCACTCACCTATCAAATACCAGCGGCCATTTTTCTCGTGCATGAGAGGACCGCCCGAGTCGCCCTGGCACGAGTCCTTCCCTCCATTGCGATAGCCGGCACAGAGCATCTCCTGATAGATGACCACATTGATGCCGTTCTGGCGATGCCAGCGCTCGCAGATGCGATTCTCAATCACAGGCACATCAACCGCTTGAAGCGTCTTCGGACGCAGTCGAGAGCCGGGATTCAGGGCGCCCCAGCCGGCAGCCCAGCCAAACTTGCCCAAAAAGTCCTCGTTCTTCTCGGGCAGGCAGATGGGCGCTGAAAGGGCAAGATGGGATTCAGTGATGGTCTAGAGAGGATTAGTCGAGGTGTCGCTTTACCTATATGCGGCATGAAGTGCACGGTGCGCTCCAGCGTCAGGACGGAGACATCAAAGCGATCCGCTTGCGGCGTAAACTTAAAATATGGATGCACATCGATGCGGCGCACGCCAAAAGTGTAGGCTGGCAGCGGTTCAACGGCAGAGTTGATGACATAATCGCCCAGCGTGACGTGCACCTGACGGGGCGTGGCACGTGCCACACAATGACCGGCAGTGACCACATGACGACGCGAGATCAGCGAGCCGCCGCATCTGCAATAGCCACAAATCATGAGCTGGCTGCGGGGTAGCCAATTATTATGCTTACCTCGAGGAGCCGATGCGTATGTAGGCTTGCCAGGGAAAGGAGCCAAAACCGGCATCATCGCCGCCCACAATGCGACGCTGTGCGGTCTGCTTAGCCAGCGAAATGCCGCAACCTGCGAGAGCAAGAGAGTGAGAGAGGGAGAGAGACAGAGACACACAGAGTGTGGCGGGTTAGATAGTTCAAAGGTTAACAAATAAAAACAGCACAAAGAGTTAGTAGTAGCAACTAGCAACAGGGTGAGAGCAGCGTTAAGGTGAGTGTAGCTTGAGGCAAGTGGAACTCGCAAACCAAATGAAGCCCGACAAAAAAAAAAACGCCGCTTGGAACTGCCCGCAATTCGTTGTGGTTGCGTTGTGTGTATGTGAGAGGGGGGGGTGGCGATGGTGGGCTGGGTGGTGCGTGCGGGCTGGTGAAGCGTTAACTTTCTAGTCACTTTTTTGTTGGTTGGTTGGAACATGGAGCTCACTGGCGGCATGCCGTTAAATGATATTTAAATGTGGCTTAATTGTCATTAACTCTGGTAATAAACATGCGCATGCTGGGCAAAAAGGTTTTTCCTCTGCTGTTTTCCCCCCTCACACTGCACTTGGCGGTCATTTCATTCGCCCCTTCAATATTTGTGCGAGGCGTTTTTAGTAGCGTGTTTTTTTCAACTTACAATAAATTTGCAGCTTAAGCACCCGAAACTAGACAATATAGCTACGAACATGGTGCGCAAATACTAGACTAAGTAAATAAATCATAAACGAAATTAAAAACAAAAAACAAAGCAAATAGGCATAACAAAACGCAGTTACTACAACAAATTATTTTAGTTAGGCATGCAAAAACGTATTCATAAAATATTTCGTTTAACAAATACCCTTGCAGAGAGCTTTATAATTGGGAAATTAGAACTCTGAAACTTAAAAATTATGAATAGCTTATAACCTTTATCGTAAAGCTTGGTACATCTGCTTCTCTTCTATCTATCGAACATAAATCTAATAAAATTAGATACAGCTACTTTTCTTCTATGATCCAACTAACATTTATTTTCTAAATGAAAAAATACTTTTTCACAAAAATGTATTCTCATTAAGCTTAAGAAATACGAGGTCTATTATGTTGTTGCTTAAATCGGATTGCTTTATTATATAGCTCTCTTGGAAATACTCTATTATAAATATAAAAATCTTTTTGCTCCTAATAAGTTTTTGGCAAAAAAAAAGCAAATATATAGCCGCGGTATAAGCTATTTGTTTAAATCTGACTGTGTAAAAACTTTGTTTTAAAAATGGAAGTAAAATTAATAGAGCATAAAGCAAACCGGATAAAATCTAACTATCATACAAATATTTTTAACTACAAAGCCAATTACCTTACAGATTTTAAGTTCTCGCTCGGCTTTTGTTTAAATAAGTTAACTATATAGACTTCTCCACTGTCAAGTTTTAAAAATAATTATAAATTTTCTTATGTGCTTCTGCAAGGATATTTAAGAAATTATCTCTCGTGATTTTTTACATTTTATTTAATGTTTTTCGATTTAGTCCATAAAACAAGCTGGACCATTGTGTAAACTAAATAATTGTTGTTGTTGTTTTTAGTGTGCACGTGCATGGACTCGTAGTTGTTTTTTTGTATTTGTTGTTGTTGAGGCAGCCACACTCACTGGGTTCGTTGTTGACCGGTCCAAAGTTCTTTTGCGGTAGATCGGTCAGATCGACCGTATTGCCCACATAGTCCGAGCTGCGCAAATTGGCCGATTTGGCCGTGCGATGGCAACAGCCGCGCAGCAATCCATTGCAGGTGCCCTGTATGAGGCCGCCGGATATCCAGCAGCCTAAAAAGAACTCGCAAGTACCGCCGCGATGCTGGCACTCCATGTCCGTTGTGGTGTCGACTGTCAAATGGTTGGGGAATTCATGTATGTAGATGAGCAACATGTGGTGGTGTGTGTGTATATGTGTGTAGGTGTGTGTGTGTGTGTGATTGTGGTTGAGGGTTGTGTGTGTGTGTTGGGTAGTGTTCGTTTTGGGAGAATTAGGCCTAGTGCAAGCAGTTCCCAGCAGCAACACTAACTGAAGCTTAACTTAGCGAAAAAAAGCAAACGGGCGGGCTCTGAGCTACAGACCCTGACGCTTACCTTTCTCCTTGAATGTGCTAGCCGATTGGGGGCTGCTGGTGGCCTCAGCTGCGCTATCCAAATCTTGTAGACTAAAATCGTTGCGCACATCCTGAACGGCAGCCAGTTCGTTAATGCCAAAGTTTTGATCTCTGTGGGGAGAAAAACCAAAAAGATATTGAGTTATCTGGTAATAGGAGAAAGCGGATTTTTTCGATCTTTTTAGGTTTTAGGTTCTTTTTGGTTTTCAATACTTAAATGACAAATTATGCTGCTAACATCGTTTACTAACACTGAAAATTTGAAACATGATTACAAATACTCTTCATATATCATTAATTATTTTCAGAAAAATATTGAAATAATGAACTATCTTATAACTCATTTACAATCTTCTAAATACTTTGAAACTTAGCTTCAGATCTTAACTTTGCTTACCAGCACTGAATGATCAAGAGCAATTTATCTTTCTCTCTTTCTGTCTGTAACCCATCGAAATTTTGGTTTCCTTTTCATTTTTTTCTGAACAATATTTCTTTGCTGGATCATATCTGCATTACACAACACTGAAAGCCTAAAGGCTATTGAAGCCTCTTCACTCTCCCGTCGTAAATGTCTCTAATGATTTCTACTAAAGTCCATTCTAAGATCGTATTAGGGTTTTGTCAACTCACCTGAAAGCAATATTGTCGCTAAAGTAGACTCCCGTACCGGATGGTGCGCTGGAGCCGCTTGGCCCGGTGGTGCCGACATTGTCATTGCTGGGGAACACAACTCTGGGACTGCGTGAAGATTTGTATGGGAAATAACGACTCTTGCGTGAACTCTGATAGTCACCGGGTGCCACATACTCATTGAACGCCTTCTGCGGCCCAAACTGACGCATGGGACTGGGTCCGGTGCGGAATTCCGTATCGCCAAAGTAAAGGCCGCGCTGCAAACGCCCCGGCACTGCGGTGATGGGTCCATTGATATCGCCAAATTTGGTGACATCATCGCGATAATGTTTGCCCGCCGCCACAGCTGCATTCAGTGTGTGCGGCTTGGAGTTGGCCACCAAACCAGGAAACTCAAAGCTGGACGGCGAGACATCCGAGTCGAAGTACAATTGACGCGTGTGGCGCGTCTCGTGCGTCTCGTATTGTGTGGGCGCGGCATCCTCGCTGTAGGGCTGCGGATCGTAGCCGCCGCCCCCGATGTTCTCCTCGAAGATGGGGCTGTCCTCGCGATAGCCCTGCGGGTAGAACGGATTGGACGGCTTCAGACTGTAGCTGGGAAACTGAAAGCCCACCCGCCGGCTGGTATGCTCCGGCTCCGCATACTCCAGCTTGTCCGTGGAGCTGGCCGCAGCTACCAGATCGCTGCGCTCGGTGCGTTCCGGTGGGGCTTGCTGCTCTGCCTGGTCTGCCAGCTCGGCGCCAAATTCATGTGCCACTGCGGCAATGCCTTCGGCTGGTGGCCCCAGCGCGGACAGCGTGGCATTGCGACTGGGTCGCAGCTGGAGCAGGGATGCGGCAGCGCTTGTATCCGCCTCCGGCTGCAGCGGTATGTACATATAGTTACGTTTGCGTCCCTGACGCGTTACATTCTCCGGCAACGTGGGCACTAGCTGCTTGGGTATGGTTATCAGCTCGCTTTGGGGCAGCTCCACGCTGGGCGCCGGAATGATCTCAACATCGGAGCGACGCTGTGCGGCACCAGCCGTCGATTGACGCGCCGTGCGATAGGAACCAAAGGATTGCACCAGGCTGCCATCGTTGCGCTGGCGCACATCCTTAAAGCTGACATCATCCTGCTGGGTAAAGGTCTGATACGGCGCATACAGATTACGCGCTGCGGGCGCCGCTGTGGCAGCTGCCGTCTGGGTGGCAAAGGCGGCTGTGGTTTGCCACGGCGCCAGTTGTTGGCCCGTTAACAGGGCGGACGATACCGTTGAGCTGGGCGCCAAGGCTTCAACCTGGCCATCATAGAGCAGGCAGCTAATGAGCAGCAGGCTGAGCTTCAGTCGGGACCAATTGCAGTGGCAACTACTGCTCCTGTTCTTGTTGCTGTTGTTGCTGTTGTGGTGGCTCTTGTTGGTCACTAACATTTTACATTGAGCGGGGATGAGCGTGTGTGGTTGTGTCTGTGGATGTGGTGCTAATGACACTGCGCCCAATTAAGGTGCAGCTGTGCAACTTCCTGCTTGTTGCAGTTGCAATCGTTGTTGTTGCTGTTGTTGTTGTTATGGCGATTTTGAACTTGAACGTTGCCAAGCCAATTGCTGGCCCGTTTCGCTTTTCTTCTGCTGTTGTTGTTGCTGGCAGCTGCTGCGTGCCGCGTTCATTGATCCCCACTCCACGGGTTTGCTGCTGCGTTTTTATTTCTATTTTATTTATTTTTTGTTTTTGGCTTTGGGGATTTTCCGGCGCCCGACGCTGTTACAATTCGGTTGAAGGAGCCGCTGCTGCTGCTGCTGCTGGCAATTGGTTTTCGATTTTGTGCCTGCCGCGAATATCTCGTGTGGCGAGTTTTAGCTGATGGTGCGGTTATTGGACTCCTTGCCTGCAGCTCTGGGATGTTTGTGAAGGTGTGTGAGTGTGTGGTTGTGTGTGTGTGTATGTGCGTGTGTGTGTGTTTGGTGTATGTTTTGCTGCTCCAATGGCAATTATGGCAATTGCTGTTGACGCTTCAACAGCCGACGTTTCATGTGGTTGCATTCATGACGGCTGCTGGCTGATGATCTTGCAACGACGACGACGACAACAACAGCAACAACTTTGGCCACAAATTACTTCCTTAATTGCCTGCAAGAAGAAGCAGAAAGAAGAGAAAAAAAAAACAACACAAAAATAAATATAAAAGAAAACGGTTTGGCATTTTGGCCATTTAATGGCCGCAGGCATGACAATAAATGTGGGTGTGTTTTATCCTATGCATAGATATTAGTGCTGTGGTTGCTGCTAGAGGCGGCTTTTGTGGGCGTGCCAGACCATTAGCCACAGCTAAACGCTCAAATGAGCTTTCATCTGACAGCTTTAATCAACGATTTGTGCATTAAATGCGCATTAAACCGACAACAAATTAATTGCAAATTACCAATTTACTCTGCTGCTGTTGCAGTTGATGCAGCATCTGTTGCAGCGGCAGCAGCAGCATCATGCGTTTCCTCGGTCACAAACCGCAGCAGCAGCTGAGTTTTGGCAACAGCTTCATGAAACCAGTTAACGAAATAAAAGTCGCTGCGCAACTGGAAAGCGGCAAATTTTAGTTGCATTTGCTTTTATTTTGCTGCTGCAAATTTTCGTGCATTTTTTTTAAAAGTTATTTTTACGTTAAGCGATAGAAGGAAATGAATGACTGCTATGAAAAGCGCAATAAAAGCAAAGCCAAGCAGCAATTGCAGGCAATGCGCTTTAATGGAAAGCGCAAGGCATTTACATTCATTTAAACAGCTTAACCACATGATCCCATCCATAAATAATTGCCGAATTTTAATTATGCATGCTTGAATTTAATTTTACGATATTGTTAAATAAAATGCAATTTTCATGTGCAATAAATCAAATGTTACACAAATACTTTTAGGGAATTTAGTAATTGATTTGAATTTTATGTTTTGCTTTTTCAATTTCTTTTTCACACGCTGCGAATATATTTGAAATTATCGATATATTTGACTATGAGCTATCGAAATGTTGTAGTTTGCTCAGTTTTATAACACTGGTTAGGTTGATTGTTGCAGCAGAGGCTTAATGGTAGATTTTTCTGATAACGATTAAGATATATATATATATATATAAAGAAAAATGCTAGTTTAGAGATAGTATTATCATTTAATGCTATCGTCCACTTCATGAATACTTTTAAGAGAGTTTGTATACCTTTTTCTATTTAAATCATATTTTCTAAGTGCTGCAAAACGTTTCGCACTCCAGCTAAATCATTTCCGGTAAATTATCTTGTTTCTAAATAATTTTTTTTTCAATAAATTGCATATATTATTAATTTAGTAGTGTATGGGAGAATATACTGAAATTTTATATAAGAATTGTTGTTTATATACAAAGCGCTTCTTCCTTCTATTTGTTCTACCCTTTCTTGTTTAAGTATCATATAATTTTTATAAAACATTTAACAGTTCTCTTCAAAATGTTACCAAAACTTTGAATATTATTTAAATCTAAATTCTATTAAGAATATATGTAGTCCCAGTCCTGACTAAAATCTCATTGTCAAATAAGTATTTCAACTTAACAGGCAGAGTATCTCGCAGTCGCCTTGCCGCAACTGTGGCGTTCTTTGTTGTTGTTGTTGTGTGGTCAACGAAGCAGCAAAGCAGCAGCAGCAGCAACGACAACAACATCAGCAGCAGCTTTGAAAGTAAGAGTTGGCAACTTTTTGCGCTCAGCTGCGCTGCTGGCTTTGCCAGCGAATTTTCACTTTCATTTCGAGTTCAAGCACCACGCGGCCAGCTGGCGCTGCCTCAGCTCTTGTAGTTGTTGTTGCAGCTCTGTTTGCGGTGCTTAAGCTTCCTCTAGTGGGGGCGACGCTGCAGCCGCCGCTTGCAACTGCACAAACTTGACATTTTGAACTTGATTTGCCAAACCAAGAGATTTTCCATAGAGTCGTGTCTGTGCCGGCTAGGTTAAAGTGTGTGGGGTTGAGGGTTGAGGGGGCAGCTAATGTCAACAGGAAGCATTGCACAAACGTGAGCAGACGTTTAGGTATTCACTTCCCTGGTGGACGGGCAGAGTTGCAGCCATGAAGATCGTTTTGCATAACGGTTAACACATTTGGCTACGACTAATAGATTTATTTTTTTATTTTTTGGTTTTCGATTATGAAATCTGAAAACTGAAATCTGGCGTCCCAACTGGTTTGTCAACATGCCGCAAAATATACCAGTATATATATATAGAGTTATATATATATTTTTTTTTACGAAATTGACAGCAACTTGAGCTGCACGATATATGCGAATTACATGTGATGCAATCAGGCAACGAAAATAAAAAAACAGAGCATATAAAAACAACTTGTTCAGTGTTGGAAAAGCGTATGCAAAAATTGACACGCTTGAGCAATGCGAGTCGCCAAATTGATTAAAGTTATATAAAAAAAAAATGCGTGCAAACTGCCCACAGCTGCTGCTACCCGATAATGAAGATGATCATGATGATGATGATGATGATCACATCGTGATGATCGCGATGTTGAAGTGCCTCATTATGAGCAACATGTGGCTGCCGCATCAGCAATTATTGCAACGGCCTTGTGAAGGACGCCGGAAACTGGCTTTACTTCTTTTAACTGCCTTGCCTTTCGCTGCGCTCTTTCTTTTTTATTTCTCTTTCTCTCTTTTGATTCGCTTTTTTTTGCCTCTGTTTCACACTTCTGCTGCACGCATAATTCACATTCATTTTGGTTTTTTACTGTCAGTTTATTTGTTTTAATTAACAATTGTTGCGGCTGCTCCTCTTTTATTTTATTTTTTATATATTTTTGTTTTTTACTGCACCCTTTTGTGTGTGTGTGCCTGTTTTATCTGCATGTGCACTTTGTTTTAGTTTTGTGCGCTGCCTAGTGAAAGTTGCTTTTGTTGTTGTTGCTTTTGCAAACAATGTGTTGCTCGTTTGCTATGTTTCGTTTATGCGTTGCAAACAAGCAATTTTTTGGTTTTGTTCGTAATTGAGATAAATGCATTTTAAATGCGCAACAACAACAACGGCAGCAGCAGCAGCAAAGACTGCTGAAGATGCGGATACAACGCATTGCGTATACGCAGCGTTGCGCACAGTTTCAAGCAGCTATTCGTGCGTGTGCTTTATCGGCGGTCGGGCGGGGGCAGGGGCAGCTGCGTTTGTTCAACTCATTTGGTTTGATGTGCCACGCATAATTTAAAGACAAATGAATTTCGTTTGCATAAAATATAAATAAAAGTAAAGATAAAGATAAAAACAATGCCTAATGCACAAAATCACAAAATGATGACAACAATGGCAACTGGCGAATGTGTGCAACCGAAAAGAGTTGCCGCGCTCATTTGTCGTTTGTTGTTTATACTTCGTTGTTGTTGTTGTTATTGTTCGTTATCGTTGTTGTTGCATCTCGTTTGTGACGTTGACGAGCTGCGCATAAATAAATGTCAGCCTATGTAAAATTTAATGCCTGCATTTGCACAAAATGCTTAAATTACAGGATTGCACAAAAATAAATTTAAAAAAAAAAAAACAATATGTAAAATTGCCAGCAAATTAAAGTTTTATCCACAACTTAATCAAAAAAAAATTTCATGTCAGCTACAACTACTACTAACAACTTTTCAGACAGTAAAAAAGTTTCTTTGAGTCAAAGTTTTTGGGCATCGCTAATGGAAGACATTTAATATAAATAAGGCTACAAATTTATTTTCTTGCGCAGAATTCACCTTTCTTTGCTAAGTGTAAACGCTTCAAACAGATCCCCTTTAAAGCATCAAACGAATTAAACTGAGTTGTGCCAATTATGTGAATTGCTACCATTTTGTTCAATTGCAAATTGTTGTAGCCACGCCAAAGCAAAAAGGTCAAATCGTTTGACTTTCCCACACAAACGAAAACATAACACAAATAAAAAGCTCAAGTGGGTCAGCTGCAGGCTGAACTCCAAACAAAGGCGCACATCGTATGAAAATTGGTGTCATGCCATTGGCACATTTAGCCTGGCCAAAAGCAAACACACAGCGCAATGGAAAGCCAAAGCAAGAAAAAAAAAACCTATTACCATGGGTATTGGGTAAGGTAAGTGCCGTTTGCAAGAGCAGCGAGCGCAATTTGGAACCGGGCCCAAAGTGTTGTTGCCACACGCCCAGAGACACATAATCAATAGAGATATGCTAGCTGGACAAGCTGGTGGTATGTTGCGAGGGCGGGAGAGGGAGCGGCGTTAATTAATATTCAATACACGCATGCCTGCTGCGCAATTGTTACGAATGTGTGAAGTCAACACCGGCAGCAAAAAGTGTTAAGAAGCGTTGGCAACAACAACAACAGCAACAACAACGATGCGCAACATAAGCATTGCATGCAAATTCGTAACAACAAAAACAACAACTTTTATATTGATAAT